AGCACTGCTGCACAGCTGTAGTGTAGACATATCCTTAGGATGGAGTGGAGAAAGGCGGGATTAGCTATGCCGTACAATGACAAATATAGAGCTTGGTAACTACTTTCCAATCAAGATCCCAGATGCTTTACTTCAGTGTACATTTTGTTAAGGAAGCTTAGGCCCAGAGCCAGCAAAGCATTTAATCACATGCTTAACTTAAAGCATGTGAGACATCCCATTGAATTCAGTTTGTGTCTGCAAAACAATAAACACGATAGACTCACTTCGGACCTATTCCAGCACAAAACATTTTAAATATCCTCTTCATTCTACGGATTTGAGAAGTCCCACTGAAGTCAACTCTTTTATCTTCAGGCAAAAAAGCAAGCTTGGCTGAATTCGATTTGTATTTTTTTTTATAATTTGAGGGATAATGTTGATGTTTATTTTTAAGCATTTTTAAAATGTTTATCTATTTACATTTTCTCAGTTGTGAGAAATTATGTGGGTGGAGTCAGACAACAATTATTTAATGACAATAGATGTAGAGATTCAAAAAGTGAAAGCTTTACAATTGGTAAAACACAAATTGTCAACCTCATATGTCACAATATACAAAGTAAACATCCTTAAATCAAGCTCTCTAATAAGTTCTCAAGCAGCATTTTTCCCACCTTGCCTATCTGTAAATTTCTATTATTGATGGAAATATTTTTGTCGGTTTGTGTGTGTATGGTGAAATCGATGTGTACTGATAATAAAAATCTAATCCTTCCAAGCCTATCCTCATCCTATTTGTGTTGTGCTATTGGCTTCAGAGGGCGCGCAGGATTGAGTCCAGAAATGGAAACGCTGCAGAAATATAACTGAAACTTTAAAAAACTATTACCTACAAGTTGTGTTCACAACACCTAAAAGGCAGGTGTTTAGAAAGGTGCTGTAAAGGCCTCTATCATTAAAATTTTAGGTTAATAGACTTAATATTACCCTACTATATAGGTATGCTTTTTCCTGAAAAAGGTAGACTGTAGCCAGACCATGGCATTTTGGATCTATGTAATGTAGGGCTGCTGTTGGAGCTAATAATTCTGATGGGCTATTTTTCAAGTATTAGGAGAACAAATTAATGAGGAAGCATGTGTCTTCTTCCCTGACAAATTTGGAGCTCATATCTAAAAACATGGAGAGAGAGAAGCCATGGAAAGTGATTCTGAAAGTTGCTGCAATAGGTCCCAATTCTGCAATTTTAAATGCATAGGTAGACTGCTCCACCCGCTCCTTTTCTTTCACTAGGGGCACGTCTTCACTACCCGCTGAATCGGCGGGTAGCAATCGATCTATTGGGGATCGACTTATCGCGTCTAGTGAAGACACGATAAAATCGATCCCCGATGGCTCTTCCGTCGACTCCGGAAATCCACCGCGGCAAGAGGTGGAAGCGGAGTCGACGGCGGCGCGGCAGCGGTCGACTCACCGCCGTCCTCACAGCCAGGTAAGTCAACCTAAAATACGCCACTTCAGCTACGCTATTCACGTAGCTGAAGTTGCGTATCTTAGCTCGACACCCCCCCACCCCCCCCCGGTGTAGTGTAGACCTAGCCCAGGACTCCATGTGGGCACAGCAGTTTGACTGTATATTTTAATTTGCAGAATTGGGCCTCAGTCCTCACAGCTGGCCACTATAATATTATATCACTGGAAATCACAACTGAGGCTCTCCACACTTAATGTTTAAATGTGCATAGCTCAAACTCTAGTTCAGGGGTAGTCAATAGGTGGACCATGAGCCAAATCTGGACTGCCAGACCCTTTTGAATGGACTGTGAAATCTTTTTATTTACGTATTATCATTATTATTTTCTCTGGAGTTTGGACCTTGACTATATCTTGACCAAGAAATTTGGACCTTGAAAAAAAAAATAATTGATTACCTCTGAGGGTGGCTTCTGTAACAACTGGAACTGTGCATTTTATATTCTGCAATTTTTATGTATTAACTTGGAATGACAAGACTGTCTATGTCAATCCCTAAACTATATTTCCACAAAATCGCCACTAGAATTTGCAATTAACATACTAAAAGAGATATACATCAACACAGGGTTAACACTTTTAATTAGATCTTGTGACACATTTGTTTATTCTAAAACAAGACAACTAAAGATGGTACAAACAGAAGCATTACAATCATGTAATGAAGAAATATAATTTTCATAGTGCCTTTCATAGAACAATATATGCTGGATAACTAGAAAAAAGAATGAAATTAGATTTTTGTTTAGTTAGACTGTCCTCTAGAACTATTCATTTCTAAGGTAATGGTTTAAAGGAAGATGTAATTTTAGTTGGTTCTATTGTTATTCTGTTTTTAAATACCTGAGAGGCAGTCTGTGATAGCAGTTGCATATAAGTACCTAGATTGTCCAACGAGGAGATAGATAGATGACATTTTACATCACTTTTAAGATAGAGAAGGAGTATATAAAAGGAGCTCTTTGGCTAAGCAGGCTCTGATGCGATCTGTCACAGCTGGCAGTGCTGCAGCTATATCAGGTCAGGAAAAAACATGACAGAGTTCTGAACTGCGAGGACCATAGTAAAATCTGCAATATTCTGGCTCTTCCACTTCAGGGGCTAGTCTGTAAGTGCTTTTCAGATTGGGCCTGAATAAGGAGTTGCCAAGGTAAGATGTTCAGGATCTAGCCCCGAATCCATAACAGGTATATATTTTCTAAAGATTGTTTTTATTTCTTCCCTCTGTTCTGTATTTTGGCAATAAAAGTTAACTGCTTTTTATTTATTCTGAACTGTGGTTTTGACTGTTAATTAGGGGCAATTCCTTGCTGATGCTCTCAAAAGAAACTGAACTCCGTCCCCAAGGGAGGCTACTGTCTTCCCTCCACAATAGTGCCACAGAAGAAGTGGTGGACAACAATGAGCCCCACATGGTGTGATGAACATAAGGTACTATTACAGTTCTCTTACCCTATTAAGAAGAATCATAAAATGGGGAGGGGAAAATAGAGAAGTTAACAAATGGTAAGCAATGTGTATTGTCATTGTTTTAATTATATGATCTCAGCTACCTCTGTGATGCAATTGCTAATTCTCATGATTTTATCCTGCGTCTTGTGATATTTGCTGTTTTTCTTAAAGCCTCACCTGCAGGAATTATGTTCTTATCTGAGAATCTAAGCTGTCCTTTAAAAAGAAAAACACCTTCTGACAGCACTAGGCGAACCAGAAGAACCCATTAAATGTATTACTTTAAAATATCTCATTATTTTCTTGGGGCACCTAGCTCCTGGTTCTAGAATGCTGGGGATAGGTAAGACTATTGATATATCCCAATGTATACATAGTAACTGTGGGGCAGATTCGGCTCCACGGGTGGAGTAATACCTTGGTCTGCAAATACCTGTGTTTTCTATTGGTTCTACTCAAGGTGAGTAAGGGGACAAGCGCCTCTTCATGTTAACAAAAATTCAGACGCATATATTTATTTTTAAAGACTTGCCTATTCTCCATTAATACAGCAATAGCCGTAATGGGTGCGTATAAGGCATAGCTCATGCACCCAGCCTAAGCTAACCTGGTATGATCCCAGCAGTTGGACACGAAGCTTTGCTCCTCACATTCCATTCTCTGCAGGTTTGTATTTGCTGGGGGGAGAGAGGGAGGTTGGTTTTTGGTCCACAGCAGAAGACAAAGACAAAGACAAAAGCAAAAAAGTCAATGTGAGGAGCACGGCTGGGAACCATGCACCTACTATCTTCTGGCTCACTCGCATCTATTAAGAACTGCAAGCGCTTGCTAGGGCGGGAGGCGCATTTCCCCTCCCTTTAGAAGCCGCGGCACAGCTCCGCTCGAACTCACCGGGCGCACGAGCTGGCCCGCCTCAACCTCCGCCCGAACCTGCCCAGCCCTGGAACGCTGCCAGCAGGAGGGCGGAGGAGCGGGCACCTCTCGTCCCCCAGGGCCGGCCGCGGAGAGCGGCACGTGGCCGGAGCCCGCCGGTGTCTCCGCCGCCGGGCAGTTGCTGGTGGTGCCCGCGGGAAGCGCCTGCGCGCTGCAGCTGCTCGCTGCCTGCCCCGGAGCTGGCGCCGCCCGCAGCCCCCTGGCGGCTCCCTGCCTATTTTAGTCCAAGCTGCCGCTTGTTGGCGGCGCGGGGCCCTGAGGAAGCGGCAGTGAAGTCCCCGGCGCCTCAGCCCTGGAGCCGGGAAACTTTTCCTGAGGCGCCCGGCAGGGGGCTAAGGGCCAGGTAAGGGGGGCGGTGGGGCGTGGGCAGCCTCCCGGCGCACGGACACGCACCCCCCATCCCGCCGGGGCAGCTGCTATGGGGCGTCCCCGGGCAGCGGCTGAAATCGGAGCTGGAGGCGCCGCTTGCCCTCAGCTTCAGGGAGAAACTTCCCTGGGGAGACGCGCCCGGGCCAGCCCCAGCTGGGTGCAGCCCCCGCCCGGATACTGGCGGCCCCGCGCCCCAGCTCTTTAACCCCCATGTGCCCCCCGCTCCCCATGGCCCCGGAGCCAGCCAGAGCGGGGCTGTGTCGGAGGCGGAGGCGGCTCCCGAGGTCACCGCCCGCCTCGCCTGGTCCCCCGACCCGAGCCCCTGCCAGCTGCGGGGTCCCGCCGCGGGGAGAGCCGGGCTGAGCCGAGCGCTGCACTGCCCGGGCGGGCTGCGCTCCCAGCACCCACACCCCGCCCGCAGCGGCGGCGTCCTGGCCCCGAAGCTCCTTTCTGCTCCTGGCAGTCCGCTGCTCGTGGCAGTCTCTGTGAACGGGAAGCGGTAGTGTTGTGTTTGTGGCTTTCTTTAGGCGTGGTACAAAGTAACTTCGCAACATTGGATGGGGTACACGAATCCAGAATGAGGACCGCATTCCAAATGGAAAATCAAGTTGTTGTATCACAGATATTTAATATCCGTGGGAAATGCTTTGTTAGGAACTAAGGAAACATGTAAACAGTCCATATTAATTGTTGAAATAACGGATTTCATAGAAACAGGTGCTTTCCACATTAGATCTACATTTCTCTGTAATAGGCTTCGCTTTAAAAGTGAAATGCAGTAATTTTGTATGAAATGTTTTGAGATCACTTAAAGGTTGAAGAGCTTTGTGCTGCCTCATAAAATGTTCCATTTAGACAGAATATGTTTGCATGACACTTGCTCTATAGCTACCTTTCCTCCTCGACTAGTAAAGATATGCACGGAAAACAAAAATCTTTGTTTTGTAAGAATTTGGAATTTATTTTCCCAGCTGGAGTCCTTATCTCTGTACCTGATCCTGCAAGTTTTCAATGTATAGAACTCCTTTTGCACATGGAGCACATGGAGGAGTAGGTTTTCTGTGTAGTAATAGTCTTTTCACAAGAACCAGCTGGGGCCAAATCCTTCTCCCTTTTCTCAGGTAAGTAGTCCCATTGACTTCACTGATTTGACTTTCCCTTGCCACCACCAAATAATTATATCTTAATTGAGTAAGAAACAGCCAGAGCAATTCAACTCTTACATTAAGACCCGGTCTTTATATTTGTTTCTTTTTTGCAAAGAAACAAAGTGAGAGTAACACAAAACGTGAGCCTTTTTTCTAAATAGACTGTTTTACAAAATCTTACACAAGCCACCAGCTGTTCCTTACAGCTTTGTTTACATTTAACCTGCCAATCACTTTATAGGCAAATATTTTATTGAGTTGCTCTCTTATGATATTGAATCATAGAACCACCTGGTAATGTCATAAAGATGTCATTGAAGAAATCTGGCTTCCAGAAATTAGTTCTGTGGATTCATGGGAGTTTAGCTGCATACATCCAAGGGAAATGTATGCAGCAGTCAAAAAAGTGAACAGAATGATGGGAATCATTAAGAAAGGGATAGATAATAAGAAAGAAAATATCATATTGCCTCTATATAAATCCATGGTATGCCCACATCTTGAATACTGCGTGCAGATGTGGTTTCTCAAAAAAGATATGTGGGACTTGGAAAAGGTTCAGAAAAGGGCAACAAAAATGATTAAGGGTATGGGGAATGGCTGGCATATAAGGAGCAATTAATAAGACTGGGACTTTTCAGCTTGGAAAAGGGACGACTAAGGGTTGATATGATAGAGGTCTATAAAATCATGACTGGTGTGGAGAAAGTAAATAAGGAAGTAACAGAGAGTCCTGTGGCACCTTTAAGACTAACAGATGTATTGGAGCATAAGCTTTCGTGGGTGAATACCCACTTTGTCAGACGAAGTGGGTATTCACCCACGAAAGCTTATGCTCCAATACATCTGTTAGTCTTAAAGGTGCCACAGGACTCTCTGTTGCTTTTTACAGATCCAGACTAACACGGCTACCCCTCTGATACTAAATAAGGAAGTGTTATTTACTCCTCAGAACATGACTGATGTGAAGAAAACACTTATTTCCTATTTACTCTATCTCATTACACAAGAACTAGGGGTCACCACATTAAATTAATAGGCATCAGGCTTAAAACAAACAAAAGGAAGTTCCACACTGTGCACAGTCAGCCTGTGGAAATCCTTGCCAGAGGATGTTGTGAAGGCCAAGACTATAACAGGGTTAAAAAAAAAAAAAACTAGATAAATTCATGGATGATAGGTCCATCAATGGCTATTAGCCAGGATGGACAGGGATGGTGTCCCTAGCCTCTGTTTGCCAGAAGCTGGGAATGGGTGACGGGATGGATCACTTGATGATTACTTGTTCTGTTCATTCCCTCTGGGGCACCTGCCATTGTTTGACAGGATACTGGGCTAGATGGACCTTCGATCTGACCCAATATGGCCATTCTTATGATCTTATGAAAATGACTTCAGTGACCAAAAGAAAGGGCTTTCACCTGTGTAGAGTTGTTGCTACCTAGGCATGACACCATACTGTGTATGATGCCAGATCTTAAAGTAATATAGAAAATCTTCAGGCAGGTACTTTATGAAGTATGCCAGTGACTCATGCAGTATCACTTGAGTTGCATGTGCCGATAGTAAGGAGGTTAGATGCTATTAAAGAGGGAAGCATAATATGACCTTTTTAATTTTGAGGGAGAAGGCAAGTTTTTCCCTTCTCTTACAAGTTTTGTTGTAGGAAAATCTCTTTAAGACAAAATTTGATCAGCAGGAAGTTTATTGGAGTAGGAGAAACGGGCTGTTAACTGAAACCAACTTTAGTCTATTTGTTTATATTGTAAGTTCTTGGGGCAGAGACCACTTTTTTGTAATGTGTACGGTGCCTAGAACAGTGGGTATGTATAGGCTACCACAATACAAATAATAAATAATAATAGCCTGGTAGTTTGATTGTATTGGGATAAAGAATTTATAAGCCTCTTCTGACAATGGTAAGCAGAAATTAATCTATTAATGTACTTGAAAGTGATACTAAATGATCTCTCTCTCTGGGTGTGCATGCTTCTGTATGGCATTGCTTTTGTGATAGTCCATATGACACTTATTCCAAAAAAACCTAAACCTCTGTCCCAATTAAGCACAAATTAGAGATATATTTTCAAACCTGAGTGCCAAAGTCAAATTAAACTATTTTAGTAACCACTAAAGCAGTGGTCTCCAACCTTTTTACTCCCAAGATCACTTTTTGAATCTAAGGGCAATCCGGGCTCTACCCCATCCCTTCCCTGAGGCCCCGCCCCACTCACTCCAACCCTCCATCACTCACTCTCCCCCACCCTCACTCGCTTTCACCGTGCTGGGGTAGTGGTTTGGGGTTTGGGAGGGGGTGTGGGCTCTGGGCTGGGACAGAGGGGTTGGGGCTGGGGGTTGGAATGCAGGAGGGAGTGAGGGGTACAAGCTCTAGGAGGGAGTTTGGGGCTTTGGGCTGGGGCAGAGTGTTAGGGTGCAGGAGGGGGTACAGGGTGCTGGCTCTGGGAGGGGTTCAGGGCTGGGCTTTGGGGTGCAGGAGGGGCTTTGGGGTACAGAAGAGGGTATGGGGTACTGGCTTGGGGAGGGGGCTGGGAGTTGGGGTGCGGCCTCTGTAGAACTGATGAATGAAATTGTTTTTAATTGTTCACTTTATTAATGTAACTTCATAAGTAAAGTTTTATGAATGAAACAATATTCATTCATAAAACCGGTTACCCCAATAACTGGCTAATTAACAATTAAGATGCTTGTTAACAGCCATAGCTGTTCAGTCAGCTGCCTTTGTAAGTTTCACTATCAATCCAATTCCTGCTTAAATCACTGAGGCTTGCACTGTTT